ATGTATTTGATTCAAACATGAAATTTTCTGATGAACTTACTTATGAAAAGAACCAGAGAGCTAGATTATGAGGGGAGGACCCTGGTGACCCTTACCCACATCCCCACTTAGGAGGCTGACATTAGAGGTTCATAATACAATTGGCCTCTGTGTGCTTTCTGCCGCTTATGGAGTGATTTACTCCAGACTGGGTTGAAAAAGGACTACTTCCCAGGCTCCACCCTACACTGAGTGTCCCAGAAACCATTCCCATCTTCTCTGTTACAACTCTCTGGGCAGAGCACCAGGAGTTCACACTTGTCTTCGGGCACTGCTTCTCCTCAACAACTGCCTAGTCTTTACTCCCTGAGCATGTTATATTGCAAAATAGGCGGGTGTTTTTTTTGTGTGTGGTTTTTTTTTTGGTTTTTGTTTTTTTTTTCATGGCAAGCTGTTTGGCAGAAAACTTGTAATTAAAATGTCTACCAAACTTAACAGATACTTCGGTCATTACACTATGGCCTTTTTTTATTTTTCTTTTCTTTTTTTTTTTTTTTTTGCTATAGGATACATGCGCACACCGAGACAGACAGAAAGTGAGAAATCACTCCCCGGGGGATGGCCACACCACAGTCTGTTCTCCTCTTGGCATATGGGTGTTTACCACATTCCTGAGACACCTCTGTCTCAGTTCACTTCTCACTTTTTACCACCTTGATACACCATATGGGCAATATATGTACAGGTCGCCCAAATCCAAGCACACTGGGATAAAATAGGTCAGAGTTGAGCCAACTAAGATTTTTATGGCTCATTCTCCATAACTCTGAAGCACAGAAATCTCCATGACCCTCCACAATAAATTCCTCACTGGTACTTGACATTCTCTTCCTGAACTTTTCCTCTGCGTTCCCTCTTGCCATTTCTCAAAACTGTACATTTTTTCATTCCACATTCAACTTATGCTAGCCTGGTATATTTTATGTAGTGTCCAATGCCTAAAATCCTACCAAGAGTATGGCTGGATGTAAAATAGGTATCTGTATATTAGGTCATCAGAAAAGTCACAATGCATTTTTGAATAGAAAAAACATGTCATGACTTTTCTGATGACCTAATACCTCTACATTCAAACAATGATATTACTGCTATCAAATAACAAGGACATTAAGTTTAGGGATTGTTTCACAATTCTTAATGCAATCCAAATGACAGTAAGATGAAAAGAAGCACACACGGACACACCGCACATTGATCTCCATGCCTAAGGCATGAGTCAGCCATGAAAGCAGAGGATCTATCTCTGGACTTCATTTATTATGGCTCCCAGGGCCCTTTAAAATCGATTGTTTATGAACAGGGCTATTTTATTTATAAGTCTTTCAAAACGAGGCATTTTGATATAATATTTTCAAACCATAAATTAAATGAATGCTTGAGGGGATATTATTCACTATTTTGAGAACTAATAAAAGTACATTTTCCTAATTCCAAGAGAGAGGTATGAAAACAGGTCAACTTAGAATCTGTTCATAAAATTAAAATGACTTGTTATTTATTGCTGCCTTTCTACTGTCTTGACAACTATGACTATAATCTCTTGTGGACCAAATCCTCTTAGGGGATTTGATGATGGCTTCCCAGAAATCCACGTATACACCCAATTTGAGTATAATTTCAAGGAGTCCACAGAATGCCTGCCTACATCCCACCCACAGGCCTTTGTCTGCGCCCACACAGGGAACCCTCCAAAGCAGGCTTCAAAGCTTAAGCTTAAGATTACTAGCCATTAAAAATAAAACCACACATACATGCACGTGGTTAAAAGTGTGAACCAAATTAATCCCTCACAGCAATAATTCCTCTAATTCTGTTTACTAAATACTACTTTAAAAAAAAAATGTACTATGGGACATTGTGCTCATCAGTGAAAAAAAGAGAAAAAGCACCCCCCAAAGGGGAAGGCCACACTACAGAACTTTCTCTTCCATTCTCCTCTCAGGATTTTGGGCATGCACACACACGAGCCCTCCATGTTTTTCAAGCACTGGGTGCAGGACTCAAACCACACAGTTGACCATGTGGGATCCAGCTGCCTTAACCACCATGCCACTGACTGGTGCCCAAATGCTACTTTTTTATAATCTGACAAAATTAAACACTTGTTACAAATAAGTATAAGGACCTAAAAGAAGCAACTTGCTTCCACTATTATGTTGTCTGATTCCTGTTAGTCTCACTTCCCAAATTGGCTACATAAAATCTGAAATCACAGGTTTTTCCCCCAGTAACCAAAACTGTCACCAAAGTATATCATTTTCAATTTATTTAAAAACAGCACTTTATTCACCATAAGAGAAAATTTAAAATACTTTCTCAAAAAATTTTACCTAATTTAATCCCTATTTTGTTTAACTTAAATAATTTGTAAGAATATAGTCAAATTTCTAAAATAGGTGAGATTTAAACATTCTAAAACTCTCAATTTGGGCTGGCATGCTGGCTGAAGCACTGGACTCTGACATGGCCAAATGTGGTTCGAGTCCTGGACTTGATGGCTTGCTTGCTTGCTTTCCTTTTCTCTCTCTCTCTCTCTCTCTCTCTCTCTCTCTCTCTCTCTCTGGAGAGATTTAAAAAATAATAATGATGCATAAAATTAAATAAAATAACTCTTAAAAAAATCCTTCCAAACTGTCATTCATAATTTAATAATATACCTCTATCCTATTTCATATTTGCAATTCCATAGTATCAAAGAAAAAATAGAAAAAATGCAATAGCACTATAGACAAACACAACTAGTATAAAAATTGCAACAATTGACGTGAGATTTTTTATTACATTTATGTCTACATAATATTGAAAAACTTGTATAATAGAAAAAGCAGCTGAAGGGCAAAATCAAACTCCTAGCTTCATTAGATGCAGGCCTAATGTCTTTCGGATAAAATATTTGTAGGTGCCACAGTCAATCAAGATTTCAATAGAACCAAAGATGAAAGCATTCATGCATAAAAGGCAAGTGTGATAATTATGATGTGCAGACAAGATAATGGAAAATATCCTAGCCTGCTTTCCATTTTATGTATCAAGTGCTGCCTTGACCCAGACGTGCTATAATGCTTCAGCACATTTACTGCATTATTTTATCATTTTAATTATTTAGCAGAATTGAATTAAATTGGTTGGCATCTGGTCAGCAGATGCAAATTCTCCACTATCTTATAGGGTCTTTTGCCTGCTTCACTCCTCAAAATAATGTTATAAAAATGTTAAATAAACATGCAATTGAGTTTGAAATTCTTGTTCATCTTCCAAATGTATTAACCTCTTACTGATTAAACAAATGGCACCCATTTTCCTGGAATGTCATTTTCAGACAGTTTATTTCAAAATGTTGACAGACAGCTTACATCAGAAATTGTACTGTGTGACTCAACACTGTACAGTTTACATTGACTTCAATTTAAAATTTTTCTGATGATGAGGTTAATGCAAACTGATGGGGTAATTATTACAAAGATAGTTCAGCATATAGTTTTAGCACAAACTTCACTGCCTATATGTTTAAGAATTATGGCAATCATCCTCTAAGCTCTACTCTAATCTATTACCCAGAAACAGGAGTCATCCACCTTAATATTCATGAAAATATTCCCTAACAAAGTTCAAGATTACAATTATGTTGCTGTTATTGCTATAATGTATAACATTTTAAAAACATTGAGGCTTTACAGTAATTAGCCTGTCAAAATTAAAATAATGCTTCTTACAAATGTGATACTATAACTGTTCTAATTCTCTTCTATAGTTTGGGAGAAAATAACTTCTAGATGTCATTAACAACTTCTCTTCACAAATGTCACGTCAAAAACTGGGGTTTCTGGGAACCAGCAGTTAGCGTAATGGCTATGTCACTGGATTCCCACGTAGTCGACCGCGGTTCGTGTCCCGGACCCGGTGGCTTAAAACTCACGCCGGGCGCGTGTGCGTGCGTTCCCAAGATCCCGAGAGGAGAATGGAGGAGAGGGGATTGCGGCGTGACCATCCCCCCTGGGGGATGATTTCTCGCTTTCTGTCTCTATGTCTCTCTCTGTCTGTCTGGCGAGCGCATGTGCCCTACAGTGAAAATCTCTCAAAAAAAAAAAAAAAAAAAAACTGGGGTTTCTCAGTGTCCCCATTTCAACCCTAAATGAAAGCTATACAATATAGGGACAAAACTCCTTTCCTAATAAAAAGCAAACCTAACCTATCAAAGAAACTTATATCAGCAATCAAAGGCAGAATGTCTTGTTCCTCAGCTGTCATTAAAATAAAAATCTTCCTCCCCAAAAATGCATCACTACTGACCTACATCTGTTGGGGGAAGGGTGGCTAACAAAGCAGAAAATAAGAATCCCAGGGATAATTCCAATTCTCCTCCACAAGTGTAAGCAGATGATGGCAAGATTGGCTGGTAAATCTGGAGGAGGGAAGAAGTGGGTGCTGCTTTTGCTGACTCTCTGCATATACAAGTGGGCATGGGGTGAAACCACCAATGGTTTCTAGAATTCTGCATTCTTGCCCTCCTGAAGATGGAGAAAGCATAAAAAATAGAAATTCAGGCCCAGCTTAGACGGTGCGGTGTACAGCACACTGGACTGCAGTGCTGGAAGCCACATGGCCCACCATGGGTTCAGATCCCTGGGTTAGCCTGAAAACATGCTGGTCATGTGCACAGATCCCCAAGATCCTGAGGAGCTGGATGCCTGGTTCAGATGGAGGACTGTGCAGTGACAAGATTCTGTCAACTGTGCAATTCATTCTCTCTTCTCTCCATCTCTCCCTCTCTCTCTCTTTCTCTCTCTCTCTCATAAATAAATAAGCAAATATTTTTTTAAAAAAACTAAAAATTCAGGTTGAAGTAAATAAAGTTTAATTTTGCCAGTTCAAGAACACACACAACAGAGAAGCAGTCTACACTGTTAAAACACCAAACAATAAAGAACCAATCAAGGTAAGAAATACAAAGCAAGGTTTACCTTGAGCTAGTCTTTCAAGTCGTTTTCCATGCTCCGGAGGTATAGCATACCTAAAATTTTAAACATAAAAATTTTAGGTTTGAAATTTTCTAGCTAGTATCCTAAAGACCTCTATTCCTAAATAGTGTCATATTTAAAAAAAAAAAAATTAACTCAAACTCTGCTTAGATGAACTGAATAGAGATCAGAAAAGCAATCCCAGAGTCATATCCCTTAAATACTAGATGAAAGAAAAATGAAATTATAAATTATCTATTTCAATGTTCCAGCTCATCATCCCAATCTTTTTTTTTTTTCTTTGTTAGGTTTCTGGCATGGGGCACAATCACCAGAAAGAGAGAGCCAGAAAGTGAGAATTCATCCCTCAGGGTATGCCATACCTCAGTCCCTTTTCCATTCTCTCAGGATTTTGTGCATATATGCACACTTTCCCAGAGTGAGTCTAAAGCCACTGGGTCTAGGACTCCAACAGTGGAAGATCATGTAAGAATCCAGCACCTAAACCACTACAGCATCTGCTGGCCACTCCCCTCCCCCCACCCTCCAATTTTAAAGATAAAGGAACAAAGGACCAAGGCCAATAATCTATCTGGCAAAGCAAGGAGTCAGCCAAGCTTAGAGCTGCTCCCCCAACTCTCTGGGTCTATTTTCTGTTGAATGTCTTCTGCTCAGTTGGTTGGTTACTTTTGTCTTTTTTTTTTTTTTTTTTTAATGAAAATTTGGATTGACATCTTTTTAGCTTTTAAAATATTTCTATAATCGAGATTTACAAAGTCACTTAATCATGAAATAAACAAAAAGTATTTTTTTCTCCTTTGCTTTTTAAACGAGGATAATATACAAGAAGAATATTACTAAAATATACATGTTTAGTTTCTGGTCTCTTCAAAAGTGAGGTACTTGAAAATATTTATTATGGACTTAGTAATAAGTTCAAAAATGCTAATTTTAGAGCATTTTGTTTAAATATTAGATTTTATAGGCTTTTTACTAAGAAAATGTATGAATATAAAAATAAATTTAAGTGATATTTTCAAGTTTTAAGTAAAAACTAAATCTTACTTTTGAAGACCTACATTTGCTATGTATACTACCTCAGTATTTATTAAGTAAAAATTACTTTTTACTCAAACAACTTATCTAATTGTACTTAACACCACACTTGGTTGCTTTTAATGCCACTGATAACATATGCAAAACTTAATTGGATCGGATGTAACTAGGCAATTCACTAAAAGAAAATTCAACCATATATCCTCTTCCTTAAGGCACTGCTAATAAAATTATTCCAACTGAATTGGGAAGATAAAATTTTAGCATAACTAAATGATAATAACGCAATGGTTATTTATTGCCATGCCTTAACAGTTTTTAAT